TGAAATAACAGCTCTTATGTTTTGAACATGGTGTATACCCATTTTCATATAAATATAAATTTTTTCCCCAGTTGCCTCTTGTATATGTCATGTCTGTCTTTCATATCTTTTCTGTCGTTGTTGTTTTCTGTTTTGTCGCGACAATAAACTCACTTTTATGTTGCCAATATAAATTACAAACTTAAGAGAACTAGTCAATTAATTTTTTTTGTTTCGTTGTTGTTGGTTCGAAATCAAGTCGATGACTTTTGGCATTGTTATCCTTGCCAAAAAAAAATATCATAAAAAAATATGTAGTGTGTCCACGGGCTTATGGTTTAATAATGAAAAGTAAATAGAACACACAAGAATGTCCTTTTTTGTGTTCAAAGGATTTCCAAAAGTGGCCCATAAATGACAAATAGAACAAAATACCTTTGCCAAAGTATTCAGGTAGAACATACAACAAAAATTCAAGTGGACAGTTTTTTTCATCTTTTTTTAAAGAAAAACTCACATAAATAGTGATGCTAGATTTCATAATGCAACAAATGTGAAATAAGCCAATCAAGACGACGACGACGACGACGATTGTCATCATTTATGAAATCGAATGCGACAATCGGCCTTAAAACTATACAAAAGAGAAATAAAACTAACAAACATCCAAACAAATAAATAACATAACAGGTACGTCAAAAAAACTATATATAACCGCAAAAATAGTGTACATTCAACCGAAAGATCATGAGAGCGACGAATAATCGAGAGACTCCTTCGATAGAGTCAAAAATGTCAATGCATTGAGATGAAAAACAACACGCACACACATACATAAAACACTTGATCTTCTTGATTTCTATCAGCGCATATTTATTGCGGTTTAGATATCAATGATCCGTCATAGATAATAATCAATGCTATTCGGTTGCTTTCAATGACTTGTCCATTAAATGGCAATGAATGAAAATAGATAATGACACAGAAAATCAAAAACCATTTACAATGGCTTGAACATGAATCTCGCCCACATCGAAATTTCACCATTTTTCATTCGAACATAAGTGAACGGGAAAATTGCAGTGCGCAACGATAGTTCCGATGTGTCACACAAAGACCAAACGGATTTAATTTAAAGAAGTTGAACAAAACAAAAACATGCCTCAAGAGCAAATTATACAGTGTGATGAAATCCATTTGAAAATCTCTTTTTGTACACTTTCCTTTTGATTGCATTTCGAATATTGGTTGCTTTGTTTTGATCTTTTATTTTTTTATGTGAAATATTTCAAATCAGTGGTTTTTTTGTCAACAAAAATGTTTTCACTGAAGTACTTACGATTGCAAATTTTTGAAAGATTGTTTTATCATGACAAATGATGCAGCTCTTTGGAATTCAAAAAAGGTACCGAAGGTATATCGACTTCTTTTTCCTTTCTTTCTTTCTCAATTAAGTGCATTTAGCACATAGGGATTATGTGCAGTTCTAGCACTTTTTCTGTGCTGAGACCGAATTCAAATGGAATTTGATATACGTTTCATTTCTCTTGCTCTCACAACCTTTCTCCCTCTCTCATTCTCGCTCTCTCTCTTTCTGTCACACATACAGCTGAATTTACACGATTCACTTGCATCATATGATATGAAGAACAAAAAAAAAAGCAAACACCACACACGAAATAGATCGAATAAAGCGAATTGACATTGTACGCTAAGATATTAAATGAAGTGTTTTCAAAAGATACAGACAAGCAGAAACCGCAAGCAAAACCAAAACTGACTTGAAGGACTGAAAGAAATTCAAACGAAACCGCTGAAGATGAATTACTTCTTTTTTCATCATCATCATCTTCGTTGTTGTCAATCTTAGTTTTCCGTATACGGTTCCATATTTGTTATGTTGTTTGTCGCAATAAAAACAAAATCTGTGAAAAGAATGTTCAAAGTGTCAACAATGATTTTATGCCTTTACACCACATAATTAAGACTCAACAGACATTTTGTGATTTTCAATGTTAATAAATAATGAACTGCCTATGTAGATGTTGTTGTTTGTTTCCATCTCTTTCATTTGTTTCATGTGAATTCTTCTTTTTCTTTTTACCTAGTACCAAATTAACACAAATTGTACTATTTCAAAATAAGTACATTTGTTGTTCGGTTCATCAATACAAATTGTTACGACCATTCGGATCATTAGCTAATAAGTCAATACGAAAAGTAAATATCTGTTGAGAATTGGTTTCGCACACAATTCGAAGCCCCTTTCTCATTTCGAAATTCTAACTCTTTCATCGAATTTTGTTATTTTGGTTTCGTTTTGTTCAGGAAGAAGTTTGATTTTTGTTTGGATTAACAATGACTTCCGATCGGCTAATTTGGTGAACACCAAATCGAATCATTTCGGTGAGTGAATCCTTTTTTTTTCTAAAAATAGGGATTGGCTTTTTTTGCTCAAAAAGATATACATTTGTACATCGATTCAAAGGCAATTTGATTTTTTTGGCAAAAAAACAACAACAACAACAAGATTAAAACAACTTTTTGCAGCGATTGAATTACGCCTCAACATACCGAATCGAATTTAAAATTATAGTATTGATTGGCTATCTGTTTATGATAATTGGATCGAACAAAAAAAAATTATAGCAATTCTATAGGTCGATCGAGCACGTCCATATACTCAATAAAACAAACAACGATTCAACTAAATTATACACTAAGCAACGACTATTCTGAATTTGATGCTGAGCATTAGGAACCGCATCGCAAGTCGGCATTTAGAAGAAGCATAAACAAACAAAAAAAAACACTGGAGCTTGAATCAAATTTTGGATTTGATGAATATTGCATATTCCCTTCTCTGAAGCAAAAATTGCATTTTGAATGTCACATTTAAAACCTCAAAATACGATTCGGATTGAATATGCATCAAGTGAATACATCGAATGAAAAAGAACGTTTTGTTCATTCGCGCTCTAAGTATGTTTGCATCTTTTGTAGACAAAGTTAGCAGATCAGGAGTGTCTCTCTCTCTCTTTTGCCGTTTCACTTTTTGTGAACTGAGACATGCTATTACAGCGGCGAGAGTAGAGAAAAAAAATGAAGACAGATTATATTCAGTGATCAAATGTGTTTGATTTATGCTCCCGTCAGGGATTATAGCTCAAAATATAAAATATTAAAGAGTTAACGCGAATTGCCAAAAAAAATAATAAACCATTCTCCCCAAATTGGTTTAATACATGTAATGATGAGTTGTTATACATATGATGCCGTTGATATTGGACTGTGGTTGAATGGACGACCGAATGAATGGGAGACTGGCAAGCGGGAGGGAATCGCTGTTGATCCGTTTGCCAAATACTTTGTATAATATCGCGCGACAGTGGGTAGTTACCGTTTCTCTTCTTTTTTTTTGTTCGTCGTAACATTTTCTTCTTCAGTCTTTCATTTCGAACGGGGTGCATCCGTTCTATTATTTATATTGAGAGAATATGCAACATACATATTTCACGATATAAAAGACATAAACGACAGATAGAACGGTTTGTGAGATTATGCAAAAAACAAAATCACATAAATATACACAGTCAGGATGAAATAGCAGCGCAACGGTAACAACAACAATAAAACCTTGTATGTGTGTGTGTGTGTGTGTGCTCGTACCTTATATCTGAAATTAACATATAACATCGAATGTCGAATGTGTGTTTTTGAAACGAAGAGAGTGAGAGAAAAGAGTACACGAACGTTTATTGTTGTAGAGTACACAATACGAAAAAAAAAACACACACAAAATTGTAAAGTTGTCATCGTATGTATGGGTTGTGTGCGCCTTCTGGATTTTCATATAAACGGGATATGACTTAAAACAATCGATCCTAGCTACTTTTGAAAAGCGACAAAAAAATAATATAACAACTGAAATAGGACCGCGCGCGCTAATATTTTTCACCGAACACGATAGAGAGAGAGAGAGAGAGAGAGAGAGAGAATGAGCGACTTCGCTCTCTAAACGGACACTTTATGTATGCGTACATAGCTAGCACAAACATCATAATACGTACACACCGGGGACAATATTCCAGAGTTTAAAACAGCACTATAGAGAACGAAAGAGATTGAGAGAGAGAAAGCAAGAGAGCGAGTTGAATGTTGATACGGTTCGAAACCGAACTAAGCTAACATTCATTATAATCCGACCAAATGACACACAGGAATCCACATATACATTTCAGGCAACAAACTCGATTCATTGCCTCCGTATCGTTCTCTGTCTCTCTCTCTCTCTCTCGCTGTATTCACTCACTCTCAGTGGTATGACGTGCGCGCTATCGACCCCATACACCATGTAGTATTACATGGACAGAGACTACGAATAGTTCTAACGTGTACAATTTTTTTTTTGCTTTCTCTCCGCACTACTTTTATATTGCTGTCTCTTCCGTTTCGTACATTGTATATGTTTGTAGCTGATTTTTTACTCTCTCTTTGCTATTTTTTTTTCTTTCTTTGTTGACGTACGGCACTTTTTTGTCTATTATGGAATATTGCATTGCTCTTTTGTTGGTATCTATTGGCTATTTCTGTCTCTTTCACACTTTTTATTTCACTCGCTCTTGCTCTCTCCCCGCATTGTATTTCTTGTCGTAATAAAATAACTTGAATTATTCTTTCGTACTATTCTTATATCTATAGCATTATTGCCTCAAATGCTTGATTTGAAAATGCAGTCAAGTCAATCAGAATGCAGTATCTAAACTAGTCATCCAAAAAAAAAAATCAAAAAAATCACTACGTTCAGCCGCTACACGCGTGTACGTCACCGCGCGCGTTTTTTCCATGCACACATTCGGTTTGTGCAGTACGGTGTTAACAATCCGGTACCGCTAAAGATTATTGCCGAAGCATTGCTGTTGATCTGGGGTCGCTATAGGAAATAATGGTGTGTGTGGCAGCACGACTTTGCTTGTTCGTCGTGTAGTTAAATTGTAGATTTTAGTATCGTATCACTTCTTGTGCTGTTAACATCGTCCGTTACGGCAGTTGGCGGTGAATCAGGCAGTTGAGCGATGAAAAATACGTATTTCATTTTCACAGAGTTCTCAGTGTAAAAGCTTGTGTGTCCAAGTGCAGCCGGTACAAAAATGTGTTGATATATACTAAAAAGAAAAATTTTAATATTTTTTTTTTCATCTCCATACAAAGTGCCACTTTTATCGTTCAAAATGTAAATAAAACAACAAGAAGAATTTAAGAAAAAAGAGAGAAAACAAAATATACTCGCAAAGTGCTATTACATTTTTTTTATGAAAGTGTTTTGATGCATATTCTTTCTTCCGTTAAATTTTTTTCTTCAGTCTTCATTCGATCGAAATTTGAGGGAAAAGTGTCCCGTTGCAAATAAAGTTTTTGATATATACTTTGAACAACAAGCAAAAAAAAAATTAAAATAAAATTATAAATACTGGACACAAAAGTACTGAATAACAACAACAATATTAAAACGAAAAGCGAAGAAGAAAACATTAAATGCGGCCGCTATTTAATCATTACTTATTACGTGAAATATGAATTACAAATTATCGCGCAAAGAAATAAGAAACAGTTTTTGAGATTTGAGCGTCCGCGTGCGCGCGCGAGCTCTAAACTAAAATGATACCGCACTCTGAGGGCTGCATCATAATCATGTAATATAATAAAGCTCTAAATGTTTAATTCAATCAGGTTTAAATCACCTGTGATTTTTTTCTCGAGTTTTTTTACTCGTTGCTTTTTTTTTTTCTTAATAAAGAAGGAAACAATATCGTCGGAAGTTTGAAGTGAGAAAGAAAAAAAAACACAGTTTTGAGCGGCTGTTTTCTTTGCAATTCATACCGTATGTGTATTTTATGAAAGGGAGATTCAAGGATCCTCCGGCTAAATAAATATTATATCAAACTCAGGTGCATCAGAAAGCCACTGCTTTTTTTCTATCTATATACGAATTTAATTTCGAGAAAAAGAAAATAATTCTTAAACAGAGAAAAAAATCCACATTTAAGAAGGCTTACATTTTGCACCTGAAGTAATTCTTTTTTATACTCTCATCACATTCAAAGTGTCCTTTGAATTGAAATGTTAAAGGAATCTACTCACATGGATTAATCCAATCAAATAAACTCAATTCAGTTAAATAAACTGTTTATTTTATCCACTTTATTAGATCGAATCTCCTTATAAGAACCAAAAGGTGTCGATTGCAAGAAAAAGTCTGCTGCTTTTTCAAAGTGTTTCGTTTTTTTTTTTTCATCTTCCACTTGAAAATTTCCGGGTGAAATAAACTGGGTGCAAAATCGAATGGAAACTATATTTTGCAAAATTGAATCTCTTTTTTTTAGAAGTAAACCGTACGAGTCATATCATGGAAGATATTTAAAATTTGAATATTTGTGAACGTGATACAAAAATAATTGTGTGGAAATTTGAATTGTGGAAAAAATATGAGGATTAATTGTGTGAAAGTGAATTAACTGAAAACTGATAAAACTTGAGCAGAATTGAGCTGAAATATAAGAAAAAAGGAGCTGAAAAAAAATCGTCTAAAACAATTGAAACAAAAAAAAATTCGAAGAAAACAAAAAGAAAAGAAAATTGATTGATTTTACATATGTGGAATAGTGGAAAAGGAATTTTAAGATTTTATATATGCAAAACCTAAGTGAAAATATTGTTCATGCAAACTTCATTGGCATTGGTGTACATTGGACAATAACCGAATGTGACGTTACATACAGAGCAAATGGGTACAATGAGGCCAATTAAATACGATGTAAGTGTCTTCTACAGTTGTTATTCTTTTTTTTATTTCATTTTAAATTCAATTTTGTATTTGTAAAATAGTATTTGCGCTTGAAAACAAAACAAAAAAAAAAAGAGAAGAAATATGTCACAGAGAGTGAGACGAAACGAGCGAAAGATAGAGATAGAGAGAGCGAGAGAAAGATCTTGATTTGTATCGTCTTATCGCTTGGCGGCTTGTCTCTCTGTGCATAGAAAGAAATTTATATAGAGAAATATAATTCGATGAAATAACAGGTTCGGTTGAATTTTATTTTGTGTGAGCGCGGAAATTAGAAAATGATAAAACCTCTTTGCATTTCGGTTCATGTGTATCGAATGTTCGAAAATTCTCTAATTTCCTGAAATAAATGAAGAGAAAAAAGAGAGCTTGAATTATTGAAACGAAGACGAAAAAAGAGAAGAGAAGAAGCGACGGTGTGATCGAAGTATATAGTTCTAGATTATTTTGCACGAGTTGCTGGTTGTATTATTTTTTTTCACACACATTCACAATTTATTTTAGTGTGTCACAATAATTGACCCGAACTCCGTAAATTATTTGCCTTGTTCATGATCATAATTTAAACATATTTGACACACACAAACATCTGTATTATTATTTTTTCAAATAATTTCACAATAAATGCGCAAATTACAGTGACAAAATGTAGAACACTGCCATTTGACTCCTGTGAACATTTAATACATAATAGTTATAATGCAATCGACGCGAGTCGCGTCGTGCCGGGCGTCGAGAAATTGCAATATATGTATACATATTCTACCTCAGTGTCTTCGACTGATTTCGCTACGAGACCTTTGCGTCAAACATATTAAATGTCACATGTGAATTGAAAAAAAAAATAAATTAACCAGAGACGGGTGAGCATTAAAAATAATAATAACAACAACACACCCGACAGAGAGAAGTATATGAAGGCCAACGACACCTTATCATGCGTATAGTATATTATCTGGAGAGTGTTTTGATATTTCTTTGCATTTTGAATTCCATCAGGCTGTACATCAGTGATTCAAAAGAATAGAATAGTAACAAACGGTCGACAATACAAAGAGAAAGCCATTCTATGGCGTTGGGTGTATGTGTTGTCCTTTCCTGTTTGTACGCGTTTTCAGCATGCGATTGCTTTGAGATAGCGAGAGCGGGAGCAATATTTGATGAGTCCACCAGATTCAAACATTAGATGAGCAATAATGGAAATGATTTCTTTTCTTCTTCGCGACTTTTTTTATTCTTCTTCTGTTGTAGGATATAAAGCGATCAGCACTTTCTCATGAGACATAAAATCATTATCGTATAGAGAGTGTTTTAAGTAAACATTTAGAATGTTTATTTATTTATTTTTTATTTTCGATGATTCGTCGCCGCCACGACCGCCGTCGCTGCCATAGTCATCGTCGTCTATCTCTCCTTCTTTCTCTCTCTCTCTCTCTATCTCCCTGGAGATTCAGTGTGAAATCCTACTTAATTAAAAGTCAGACATACAAAGTTACTAATTAAAACAATGATGGAACATTGAGCATAAGCAACAAGCACCGTACTAACGATGTTCGTTCACACTCACTTCTTCAGTATCTTTTTTATTGGCAGTGGTGCGATAATTAAATTAAACTGATGTATGCTTATGCGTTCAATTCATCTATACACACACATCGAAAGAGAGAGATATACCGAATGAACAACTTGCTGGTACATTACATTTTCGAGTAGGTTTCCACACATTTCTAGCGAAATGAGAGAGCGATCGAGAGGTGGAGAGAGCAGAAAAAGAGTGAATTAAAGAAGAAAAAAAAAACAAATAAATCATAATTGCATGGGAACATCGATAACATGCCCTGTTTGCCTATGCCCTGTATACTGCATGGAATTATTACTGCTTTAAAATCGTCCCGCAGGCTCAATAAAGTAATTGAATTCTTCAAATTCAAGCAGCAATTGCCAATTATGACTTTTTCGTTCACCTGAGTGTATGTGGTGTTTACGCTTAGGAATACCGCTGCAGCTTAGGCTCACATACCGACGGCCGAATGAGGCGTTTATTATTAAAAGCCGTGTATGTTTTTTGTTGTTGCTGTTGTTGAAAAAGCTGTAGTATGTCGTATTTAACATTTACGGTGGCAAATGTTTTGGAAAATGTTATTCATTCTATTGATAGTTTCGATCCGAGTGAATATCCCAAACTCGAATTGTTATCCACATGAGTTTAATTCATTGAACGAACGACCAAGTGATGAAATGACCTTTGTTTAACAAGAGCCAGAGATAGTGAGACACAACATGAAAACTAAAAATACACACATCGTATCGTTTACTGTGCCTAAGGGACGCGCATACATTTACCCCAACTGACTGAATCAAATATATATGCAGGAGTTAAAGCCCGATGAAAAACAGTTACTATATATCGATTTCCAACGGCGGCTCCTTCAACTCTATCAAACAAAATTCTCCATTGCACTCTGTTTAACTCGTCTTTCAAAGCCTTTTTTAAATTGCACTAATAAAAACAACCGTGACGATACAAAGTGACCAACATTTGTGTGTGTGTGTGTGTATGTTTTTTCGTTTCACACACCTTCGTCGTATAAAAGTGGTCAAAGCTGCTGCAGCAGTTTATGGTGCTTTCGTGAATTTTGAAATTAATCAATCAACACACACGGCAAGCACAAAAAGCTATATGCACTATGTTGGCATAGTTCACCATGGAGATCTGGTGTTTTGGTTTGCATTTAAGCTTGTTAAAAAATTCATAAACGCCATGAGCGTATGGAATATATGGGAAAAGTTGCTGACAACAAATCAAGGCCTTTACAATAGAATCATAATGCTTCTTTTCCTTTAAACACTCAAATCGATTTGAAATTTTTTACTTTTCAACCATACGACACTCGGCTTCCCCTTGTAACCTATTTTTCTATCGATTTGAAGAAGCGGCATTTTTTTCACATTTCTCATCAAAATTATACTTGTGTGTGTGTGTGTGTGTCTTTGTGTGTTTGTCGCATATTTTCATTTGCGGTTGCTGGCGTTGTGGCTGTTGTTCATTATTTCATATTGAATTCTCAAGAAAAATGAACATACGTCAGACAAATGCTGTTGCTGCATGGATAAATTATACATTTTCTAATTTTCATGCTATTTCATTTAAACGATTTATAAATCCAATGAATTTGAGTGAATTTTCAATGAAATATGCCATAAATTCAATTTATATTACTCGAGAATGTTATGCATTGCACATTTCATCAACAATTTACCTGCATACAAGGTACTTCTGAGACACAGTGACGATTCAATAAATATGTGTGTTTTTCTTCTTCAGTGAAAAATGAAACAGAGACGATATGCTTCTGTGAATCATCATCGAATTTCAACGATTGACTTGTATACGGGTGCTTTCATGTATATAATGCAACGATTCAGCACAATTTTTTTTATTATATTTCTCACATGTCATTCAGCATGAATATGCACAAATTCATTTGATCAGTGTGTGCGACCAATGTTCAAAAATCATTTAGTTCGTATCATTTCATTCAAGAGATGGATAAATGATCAATACATTTGAAGACATACACACATATCTAAAGAAAGAAAACCAGATATTCCTTTCAATTTAAAGAAAAAAGGCCGAATATAATGAAGTAGAAATACCTTTTGGGTGGTTAAAACACATCATTTTGAAAATAAAGCCCCATTCAAATGGTAAAAACCGTGTGTTTTATTCAATAAATTTGTCTGAATAGAACTTTTTTTTATTGAAAAAAGGAATAAAAAATAATTATTAATTTACAAAAAAAACCATTGATGAACATGTCAAAATACCAACATTGAAATTGCGTTTGTATGGGAAAATATATGTTTTTATTTCGAAATCGGCCCTTTTCTGGCCAAAATTGACTCAAATTGAAATATTGTTTGTTCAATATCGATTAACTGTTGCTTCGATATAAACACTCCTTTTTCATGCCCATAATAATTCAATCGAATAATTGAAGCAACATAAATATAGAGTTTTTCAAAATTTTCAATTAAAATCGATGCAATCACCATCTAACTTGCCATGGCAAATAGACTGTGAAACCAACCGAAATCTGATGCATGATGACTTCTTTAAATGTGTTTAATGTCAACGCATTGTTGTTTGGAATTTTTTAAGTGATTTGTATTTTCTATTCCGGACAAAGGACATTGAAAATATTGTTTGACCGGAGGGCACAACGGTCTTTTAACTATGGTTCGTTTGCTTTCGGTTGTTTGTGAATAGATAAAATGAATAAGAAGAAGTCGAAGGGAAAAAATGTACTTATAATGCAGCATGATTGTATAATTAGTACCTCTTTTCTGGAAATGAGCATCATCAATACATTGGTGACTATTCTTCGAATTCACTCAATATAATACCACAAGCAAACGGTTCTGCTAAAAAAAGACATGCACACACACACACAACGCATCAATACATATTTTTACACCATCGATTTCTGAGAATTTACACGAAGAAAAACCACAAAAATACTCGAACATATTTTGGAAATTTAAATGTAAAGTGAAAAAACCGCCGCACGATCTGTCTTCAAATATTTGATTATTCCAATAAATAAATATACTCGTGATGTGCACACGAACCCAAAGTATCCCAATTGACAACATTTAAATAAAAATGTAGAGTTTTGTATGTAGAATTTGAAATTGAATTTGGAATTGAAAGAAAGAAGAGAAAAAAAAGAAGAAGAAAAAACATTGTGAAGATTTACACTGTGTGCATATGTGAATAGACCTCAATATAACCGCTATCTTACAATTTTCATGCTATTGGTTGTGCGAACGGGCGCGAGCACGCTCGTCGCGACTAGAGTATATATGCATAGTGTTTACGCAAGTACGTCGCTAATTGTTAATCAATTCGATTTCTTGTGTTCACTTAAGATTTTCCGTCGGCAAAACCAGACATGACACACACACAGACATCACCATAGAGCCAGAGTGAGCGAGAGAGACACAGAGAGATAAAGAGAACAAACTGGAAAGTGATGGTATATCATCGCGGTCGATGAGCGTGAGCGCACCCAATGTGTACCCACATGTGTGTGTGAGCGCACACGCACCCGCGCTTCCTCACAAGCTATCGCTGGCTCGCTTGAGTTAGTTTATCTCAAGCTCATACACATCAAACACACACCCATAGAAATCAATGCAATGATGTGCATGCAATCAGCAGCAAATGTGAATTGCTTTGCGTGCTTTTTTCCTCTTCATCATCATCGTCATCATCATCGTCATCGTCATCACATGTTGAACAGTTAGCATATTCTATGACTTGTTGAAGCAAAGAAGAAGAAGAAGAAGAAGAAGAAGAAGAAAAAATAGTACTCTCAGTAAGATACACATATGCGACTATATAATATGAGATTTGAAAAGATCTTAACAACGCTTGTTTTTCTCTTGATTTTATAACTCTACATTTCGAATGCATTTACAAAACGTCAATTGACCTCCGGCAATACACACTCTTGTCGTAACAAGTTGTTGCTCTTCACTTCAACCAAAGAGAGTTAAGAGAGAGGAATGAGAGCTAACAACGTCGTGATTTATGACCGGTTGAGATTTTAAATCGACAATGTTTTTTTTCGCTCTTTACAACTTTCGAAAATTGTATTTATTCTCTTGACTCCGTAACTCTCGGTGATCAAATGGTGTGCAGCGTCGGCGGGATGGTCTGTTTTTGTTGGGTTTTTTCATTCTCAGGCACTGCGCGAAAGTTAATTGAAATGATTTCCCCCCCTCCCCCCGGAAAAAAACAACCAATCTGCCCATTTTCTTTTCGGAACACCATCGAAGGTGTCACTGAACCTTGAAGCACGCCTTCAAAATTGAAAAAATTACAGTTAACAATTACGGAGACATACAAAAACGCTACATTTTTTGGCATTTTTCGTTAGATTTAATGCAATTATTGTCGTTGCATTTAAATTATCGTGTCACATGTCATGTAAGACCATTTAAAGGTTGAATAAATAAAATCAAGCACAGCAACAATCCCATATTCCATTCAAAATGTGTGCTTGCACAAAAAGCTTTTATTTCGATAGAATTTTCCCAAATCGATTTTGCTGTTGTCGCATTCATGTTAATGTATGTTATTTGAAAACAGCATACATTTGCTTCAGTTAATATGCCATCAAGTCGATAAAGTATTCATGGTAAGAAATTATGTCAAATTTGCTGAAATGCAATTGCATTTGTCAATATTGAATAGTCAATTTGACTTTTGAAAGGATAATTTAATACGATTCAAAAGATATTACGAAAGGGAATATCTTAAAACTAATTTGCCAAAAAAAACATTTCAAGCGATTTAAGCTAGTTTGTAGCAGCTAAGCGAACGCATGTGCTGTCATTTTTCGAGAAGTTTTCTTCTATTTTGGATACTGTATCAAATTCTCACAATACACTGGAATATATGTATCGCTGAGAATGAAAATGACTTACGAAATCTCACCTTCTGCTCTATCCTTCGGCAAAAATTCCATAAGCGAAAACACCAAAAATTATTTTTATCCTCAACCACACACATAGGTAGTGGTCAAATGTTTTAAATCGACAAAAAATCCCTTGAAAGTAATCCAATCTCTAAATATGTCATATCTGCAATGTTTTCTTTCATTTCAATTTGTCTCCAGCAAGTGGATATCATTCCAGTTATTACTTCAATTTATTTCATTTGCTTGTTGGTAACTTGGCTGTGTAAAATGGTTGATATTCTGTCATTTTGTCACCTCGTGCAAATAATAATAATAATAACGGTAATATATAAAATGCGCGTTTGGTTATGTTGTCAAATTTTCCAGTGATGGAGATATATGGTGAGAATGATACACGCAGCATGTTGGATAATCTGTGTGAAAATTATCAAAATTCTCGCCTTCTGTGCTTATGTTTCTTTCAAGATTTGTCACTTCTTAAAAAGGGAACGGAATGACTTGCAGTGCTTGACCAAGGTATATATATCTCTCTTGCCGATCGTATTCACACGAAGTGACACGGCCACAAAAGCGAGCCAGAAAACGAGAAAGAACGAATCACTTTCCATAATTTACGTTTCAATACTATATCAGTTCGTAATACTTTGATTTGTATTCGTTTTTGTTCTTTACCGATTGCACACTTGAAAAAATACATTATCAAACAAAGTACTGACCAAATAGAGAAAAAGAAACTGAGACACGACAACGACGGCAAACAAATAATAATAATTGAAAGAGTCACACAGAGAGAGAGAGAGCTAGTCAACCAATATGTAAACGGACCGAAGGAATTGAACAAAACAAAACAAAAGCTAAAAACGAAAAGTAACGTTGAAATTGATAAAATTCCTGAGCCTAATTGCCATTTGACTCTGTAGTATTTTGTATGTTTATAGGCATAGACATGGTTTAGATACGGCATTGTATGTATATGCATGAGTGCGTACTTCTAGTAAATCGCTACACCGCTATTATTTTTTTTTCTTTCCCCATTCTATATAATCTCCAGATTATTTTGAGATGTGCCAAATGTACTGTTGTTGCTCTTGTGTTTTTGTTATTATTGGTTTTTTTTTTGCGTACTCTCTCTCTCTATCGTTCTTTCACTATAGACCTTATTCGTCGTTGTGACATTGAGGAAGAAATGTATGATGCACACATAAAGGAGAATCGCAAATGTAGCGTGGCAAATAGGGTTATTACTTAAAATTCATGCAAGCTTTTGCTAGAACGAATGCAAGAAAACAACGACGAATAAAGTTCTATCGTGACTTGCGGTCTATCTCTCTTTATCTCTACTCTCTCTCTCTCGCCCTCTTTCTTGATTTCTTGGTCGCTTTCTGTTTACATACAAAATGTAACAAAGATCTTAATTTTACGCTTCATACTCATCTCTCGTATATAGTTATGTTGGCTGGGTGGTAATGAGAATGGTAGACGAATTGTTTTGCGTTTCATAATAAATTGATAGGATAAACAGAATATCGTGTGGTATGGACGAATGAGCAAGCGAATATATTGTTTGTGTATATGATCAAACGAATGGATTTGTTGAGCACGAGACTCTTAAAAATAAATATCGAGACAGTGAGCTAAACTAATATCGTGTGGTGATCACTTCTTCAACTAACTGCACACATATACCGCTTGTATCTGTTTTATCTAGCGTATACGCATTTCTATCGTATCTCGGCAATTTATATTTTTGCCTTTGATAATAATAATATCGGACTAATTCTCTGGCTACACTAATGCATATTGATCGGTTCATTGTCACAGAAGCCGTATAGAAAAATCATTCATACGGTCATGACTTTTGCAATATTCAAAATAAACAAGAAACGCGACAATATTCAATTTACTTGACATCAACTTTTCAGCTAAATTCATCGATTCTTTCATCTTGTCCCACCGATTTTGGAATTTTACCGAAATGATACTTCCAAGAGTAAAAACAAGTACACATCACCACACAAAAAAATGGTGTACTATTCGTATGATTTGCGCGTGTCTGATAACAATATAGCAGTCCTTTTTTGTGTGTCAACAAATCACATGCAAAAGAGAAGAGAAAAAAAAGAACAACAAATCAAAGCGTATTATATTCACACGAACAACACCCACATGATTTTCACTCGAGAATATCATGAATATGCATTTTATAATCGGTATGAACTCAATGTTGACCGCCGCTCTCGTAATACTCTCGATCTCGCTCTGTACTCTCAACCGCTCTGTGGTTACCGGCAACAAAACAGCTGTCTTCACATGAAATGATCAGTTTTTGCTTTGACATCAATGCGAATTTCAAGCTTTTTACAATGATATTTCCTGTCTGTCTGGTAATCACAATTCGAATGCATTCCTTTGAACGAAATGAAAAAAAAAAAAAAAATCGGCCATTTATCATGAATGCTCATAAATTAAAATTGATTAAGTGGTCTGAATTGATTGAGGCCACTTTAAAATTTGCTTTCGATTACAAATAGATTCACACATAAAATGAAAACAATTCAATTCGTGTTTAGACCGTGTAATGTCAATTGTGCCATTTTACACATATTTTACCAGTGTACACATACACGTACAACGATATTCTATTCAATTATAATTGATTCAGTAGGAACAATGCGATTTATTGAAGAAAAAAAAACAACAACCTATGCACAGAGTATTGTGCGCATTTTTTCGTCATTTACTTGGATTACGTTTGTCACGTGCGTTAGGAGAGCAACGTCATTGATAATACTATTTTCAAAATACACGATTTTAACAAAAATACCTTTGATCATTTATGAAACTATTTTAATGACATCATTTCATTTTATTTCAGGATACCACAGCTTACCGTCTATACCAAGATTTTGTACCTCCTGATGGTAAGTAAAAGTCAACAACTCAATTTTTTTTTGAAACAATTTCACTTAGCGCCAAAAAATTGTGTTGTGATTAATCGACAAAAATCGCCGCACATACACACAAAGAGAGTGTGTATGTGACAAAATGTCAAACGTTATTCAATTAAATTCAGAGATTAATTTAATGGGGCGCAAATGTGGCTTATCACATACAGCGCGCGTTTGATCGCTCGTGCTGTGTTGTGAGTACACACACGCCTCTCGCGCATTCTTTTTTATGTGTGATAGAATACCGCAACAAATGACACAACAGCAAACAACAGCTGGGTCTCATCATAATCATACGGAGAATTGGATTCTATCTCTTTTTCTCTTGCAACAAATTTCACATGAAACATCATCATATGCTTGATTGAGCGAATTTTGAAATCTCAATCGAAATAGAGTATACACAAAAAATCACACTTTCAACTGAAACAACGACGTTTCAATATTACGACGATTATTATTGTTATTATCGATGTTATCGGTGAAAACAACATTTTTCTCTCTTTCGATTCAAAACAAAAGCAAAAACACGTGAATATTCCGGGAATTTTCATGAAACCATCTAACGATTTAGATAAGTGGGAAAATCCTTCTGGCGAAAATCACACACGTGAATCAATTAAAACAAATATTTTCCGTATTTTATCACTTGGATTTGTTGAGCTTTGTTTTTCAATCATTATCGCTACGTTCGGTCACTCCCCGCTCTCGTTCTCTCTCCCATATCAAAAGACGCACAAAGATTTTGGATCTGTACAGGTGTGACGCAAATTGATTTAAAAACAACCACAAAACCGATAATTTCAACAGAAAAACACACATCAAACAGACAACAAAGAATGTCGACCTAATCTCAGCGAGATATTTAATTTAGATTTAGCAATTGAAAATTCGCAAACAGAAAATCATTTTGTCAAGAGTTCGTCGAAATTTCCCCTCCGAAAAAGAAAAACGTTTCCTAGAATTGTGTTTTTAATTTAAATTAGAAAAACCTAATTATGGAGATAAGCTAAAATTGGGCGGATTCAAAAGACAATTTCGGTTCAAATGTTGTGATTATTTCCATGTTTACCAAAAATTTACAAACAAGAAATTGTGAAAATAAGATATTCTCATAATGAACCATGTAAATAACAATGTAACAAAAATGAATATTGAATATTGATCAATCCCATGCATGAAAACGTTCTTTCATCTATTCTTTGTCTGATGGTCTGAAAAGTCGAAATCCATCCTCTTCGACTGAACATCGAAAGAAATTCAAATCCGTTCGACACTTCAACGAAAAATAAATGCATGCCAGTGTCGTGAGAGTTTAAGATGTCGATGTTGAAAAGCGAGAAAGATAGATGTGATCGCCGGTGCACGAATAAGAAACCGAATAATTATGAAACATAAAAAGTGTCAACATTCCAAGGCGCAAAACAATGAAACGAGTGAAACCCATCAAAATATTTGTAATAATCGATAATAATCGGAATTTTCTGTGTTTTGCCTTTCGTGTGCGCGCACGCGAAACCATACAACTTATAATATATAGAAAAAAAAGTATATACGCGGCGTAGAGCGTAGGAATTTCAAACTGAATATTCAAGTGGCAGTTATGTATTCTTTTTTTGTGTCATTTTCTTCGTTGATGAATGATTCCATTGAGCCGCCGATTCGTTCGACACTACTGCATTATCTCAAATCTATTATCTTTGTTTTGATTTATACGTATTGGTCGTCAGAATAATTTTGACGGTTATATTACACTATGTAATATTACTAAGTCAAGTGTCTGATGTCAATGACAATGTTGTCAATGAACTGGTCACACTCTTCCGGAAAAATATAAACAAAATTTGTCAAGCGTACATACTATGAGTTCAAACTAAGCAAAGGCATAACGTTTGCTGACTATTTGTTAGTAATAATTCGGTGTCGGTTATATTTCAGTAGTTTTTTTTTTGTCCATTCAAACTCATATAGAATCGTTTTGAATATACATAGCGCAACCAACTTTTTGTATGTGTTCAAATTTGTGTCTTTATCTCCAGCATTAATTCTTGATTAATATAGAAAATACACCTCTAAATATTAGTACACAAATTTAAACGATATCGGATTTAGCCATTGAAATACTTTTTGACGTATTTTAATATCCCTCTGCCATTCCTTCGAGATTGTGGAACAATTTAGATCCCGTGTGATTCCATAATTCGAAGGTTTTCTATTTGTCTCCAAAAACGTTGTATGTTTCGATACTTTTGCAGAAACTCGAAACGAGCATACAAGCTCCTCCATAATCTATATTGGGTATTGGGTACAGAATAAGTGATATTTTGCTATATTTTAAACAGAGACACGTCTATGTCCCAATTACACACCATTTGCATTAAAAATACACAAACCGGCGTTAAAGCTGACAATATATTGGAATTTTACACTCTAAACAGAATGAAAAGAGTTATCTTTTTGGCATCAATTCGATTACCTTGGTTATTAAAAACAAAAGTCGACAGCAAAAGAGCAATTTCAATCTCCTTTGATTAGAAAATGCAAACAAAACATATATTGATATATTGAATGGAAATTCTTGAGTAGAACATGGACATTGAACATTATTATTCGTTTTGTTATTTTCTAGTGAGTAATGAGTATGTTGTTTTTATTTCAATTTTGTAAGTATGGAATTGTTATCGCTCTCTTAGTATTTTATTTCGTTATAATCGGAACAAGGATTGGAATTTGACTTTTAATTTTTCATTTGGATTTTGGGAGAACTATGAATGCATCTATGAATATATGTGTGAAAGAAGTGTCATGGCTATGATTGATGGTCCGCTTGCACAGACACCGATGTATTTTTTTTTGTTCTAAAAAGGTCAACATGTTCATTCATTGGTTTCTAATAGATTTGGACTTTGGTGCAATGTAAATATTTATCATTTCCCAAAAAGTCAAATGAAATGTCAGAACCGTCAAAATGTAAAGACACCATAAAAACAGTTTTTTTTTTATTTGAAAATATTTACTTACGTGTGAAAAAATTTGAGCAAAAAGTGTATTCATATGATATTCTATGAAAAAAAAAGTTGTTCCACATAATCAAATGCGAACATTGTCTCATATATCCAAATTACATATTACCATGGACGCCGATTACTTACACATAAACACATTCTTGTGTGATTGCAGCGGTTCGTTTCAAATCTTGATTACACTTTATCTTATTTGGATCGTGGTGCAGTGTACACCGTACACACATGCGAGCGAGTTAGCCATCTCTCTAAACAAAATCGGCGAATGTGCGCGCGCGAGAATGAGAGAGCGAGAGAAAAACATGTCCAACATGTAGAAACATGAAATATGACCTTCGCATAAAACCAAAATAATTGCATAAATTGATCGGTCATTTTGCTTAATTGCAATGGCACGTCCACATTATATGATTTGGCTATAAATTCAAAGCTTTTATTTTCGTGTCTTTGTATGTATGTGTGTGTGTTGCATTTCGCCAGTGAAAAGAGTTTTTTTTTTGTTTTGAATTACTGCTTGTGCAGAGACGTTTTTCATCGCAAAGAGAATGCGAGTGGTCGGGGCGATAGAACGTGAGCGATAAATGTGTGTTGCACTGGCGTCCACACGGATGAATCGGCGTACCAATGCGCGAACAAGCACTTTTCAAGTTGCAACAACACACACACACACACACAAAACAAGAAGGTGAAAAAAAGCAATCTTTTAACTGTATTATAATTATAGATTTTGTGTGTGCAGAAAAATGAAAAACCTAGAAAAATGGTTTGTGATCAATATTGATAACATAAATTCAAGTACACACATATACACACACCGGTGCGACTACTGAGAGACTGAAAAACAGACACCACATTCTGGCTGTGCATCGAAATGAGATGGAAGTCTAAACGGGAAAATGTTGCCGCCTCATCACACTAATGGCCTCTAAAGACACCACATTCTATCACGTCGTTGTTGTGGCCGCACGTTGTTGGACGTCCTTTTATTAAAAATTATTGATTGAAACGGCTGATATGGCCAGTGTGCGCAAGAAATTAAATGTTGATAGCGCAATGTGCTCCTACTTTACACTCATGTGTTTTAGTTGTTTTTCTTTTATATTTCTGGATATGCACACAACCACCGACACTTTTTTCATTTCATGCCATCTATTTGCAATCAGAGCTGAGAAGAAATACTCGGATTTAAAAGTGTTTCGGCTTATATTTATTTGGAAATTGTTATTCAGATAAAAGTGAAAGGTGTATATGGTTCAATGCCGGAACATTTCTGAAAAATGCTTTTTTTTTCAAACGAACGTTTTCTCGAAAATTCGGGAAATCTTCTAAGAAAAATATAATTTCGACGAAAACATTGTAACAAAATAACAACATAATTGTTCTCACACGAAAATAAAAATGCTCGAAAAGATGTTGAACAGAAAGTGTGGTCTTGCTTGTTTACGAACAAATCATACATGACAGAGACAATAATCTGCGCAATTTTACGGCTGCATTTTATTTTTAGTTTGTTTGGAGAGAATTTGAAAAATCATCAAAATTTATTGTTTACGTCAAGTACCAAAGTTCGTGAATGGATTATTTAAAGTTAAAAGTGTGTGTGTGTGTGAACAGCGCCCAACTCTGTCCAAGACATCAATTTGTTGTGTAGAATTGCAATTGTAATTGTTTCTACGATCCTGTCTTAAATGCTTTTTCCTGATATGGTTGCTCTCTCTCTCTCCCCGCAATATTGCAATTCAGCGGCCGCGCGTTGTGTTTCATTGCACCAAATGAGTTCGCTCAATTTGTTACTTGGTGTGTGTGTATGTGCGCTCATTTTTTTCCCTTCTCATCATCATCTTCTTCTTCTTCTCAGCCGCACACGTTATTAATTTGAGCAGTACATGTAATTATGGTTGTTGGTTTTATTGTCATTCATTTTATCATTGTTTGCGATCTTTCTCTGTG